TATTGCGTGAATCTTTTGACGAAACAAACAAACGACAGTCCGAAATAAACGACACACCATTCAAGTTATATTTGTTCTACCTGCATTTCCCATTATTATTGTGTTACATGTCATAAAGGGATAGAAAATCGAAAGTACTAACTTTAGGACTAATTATTATGTATTATGTTTTGTATTATGAATATTATGTTTTATTTTATTACTGTATATTATATATTATTTCTTCACTTTTTCCATTGTTAATGAAACTTTTTTTACCTATTAAATAACTTTATACCTTATGCAGAAATTATAACTATATTGTTTTAAAGAAAAATCCCTTTTCTTCCCAAATACACTATCGAACTGAACCGCCGTAGCGAAAGGGTTAACACGATGAATGCCACGGGGGTCACCGGTGACCGGCACTTAACTTGGCGGTGACGCCATGGGGGCCACCGGTGACCGACGCGCCTAAATTGATAGAGATACATATTGTGGCGGACCAGACGTAAAAAGCCACGTCCTCCAAAAGCGGGGTGTGCAGATGCCTTTTTCGGGTTTTCCCGACGCAAGGCGCCATAAAACAATAAAAACGTCGAGACACAGCTTCGGACCTTAGGTTCCGGATCACCCCGGTCGGAAAATCTTCGGGAAAGGCCTTCGCCCTCCCCAAGGACTTTCCCTTACCAATTTCAATACGCTCTCCCCAATAAATACGAGGACCTCTCGACCGGGAGACGTTAGTTAGCAAGTTTTCCTCCGACTCTCAACGTGTTCGTAATTCTGTCTCATCCGTCACCCGTTTACCTTTACCTTTTACACACTGTACCCCCCATCGCCTTTTTGTTACAAGTTATATTAAAGTTCTCGTTATATAAAAACCAAAAAAACTCTCTCGGATTATTTTATATAAACCGTCGCAGTAACCCCTGCGACAAAATATAATTTCAAACAAATGTCTGTGGCGGCTACCTTCAGACCTGCCAGCAGAGGGCTCCTCTTCACGCTAGTAGCCGATCCGCCTCGATCCGTATATATACACCGAGACTTCGTCCTACCCTTACGTCTAAGGCAAGGGCCCGCTAGGATAGCCTTACCGATGAGTCCTCTAGCGGGCCCCGGACGAAACGTCTCCCCTTTCCTTTTCCACACTCGAACCGCCGCCAAATGTCAATATTTAAAATTTTGTATTATTACCATCGACGATTCAAACAGTGACCCCTGTCGCGATTAACATGTCAAACATGGTTAGACACTGTGACTTATCTACTCCAGATAATACTTCAACATTATATGTATCACGTAAAAGAAAATTCATCGTGGCGCCACGGACAATTTCTGTAAAACCGGCGTGGCATTCGACGTGTTAACATAATTTTCTGTCTGCAATAGCTGATAACTTTTAGAAGCAATTCTTCCTTCTGAACTTCCTAATCCTTCGTGTTGCCAGAAAAAAAAATGGCGGATGCACGACGACCCTTGGCACGACGACTTTTTCAGAGCTTCGCTTTAATTAACGCTGACTTTTTCCCGGATCTGAAACCGAAACTGGCGACGATATCGAAAAATCTATATTTTTAGCAGTTCTGTCTGTAGATGTGTTCGCTGCGGAGATAGTCGAACGAACGATCGAGCAGGAAAGGTTTCGATTGAATTGAAAAATATTTGTTCGACGAACCGTTGGAAAATTGAATTACGCGGAGCTATCGATTTCAATAAGTTCGCTGGTGAAATTAAAATGTACAATTGATGGAACCGGTCGGGTTACCCGGTTAAAAGTAGACACAGAAAAGGTTTCCACTGTTGCGGAGTAAGTTTTACCGCAGGGCTTCGCGGGAAACCACGGAAACAGAATTACGAGATGGACGGGCACAGGCGAGAATCGATTAATGGGTGAACTGCCAGTGCGGTTTTACGACAAGTAACGGATATACATTGACGGTCGAAATAGTTTTCCGCTAACCTACCTCGAGAATCATCGGCCGGAATTAGAGCTCCTTCATCTGCCCTGCTGGACGATGCTGTCGATTTTCGCAACGACTGGAGTACCAAGTCTCTCGGGTGCTAAGCGACGAACGACACATTCAAACTACACAGATTTTTAGATTTTGAAAGTTTCAGGGTCGCATAAAGCCAAATATCCGAATCATATAATAGTAAAATGCTTCTGTACTTTCGAGTTGGTGGCGTTATCCATAACTGAGGCGCTATAGAATTTAAAGTCAGAAGACTTAGTCGTTAGGAAACGTTAAATGACTGAGAAACCAATGACTCAAAATTTATGTTCTTGATCTCAAAATATTCACAGTACTTCGATCCATCGAATCTGTATCTCAGAATTACATAATTATGGCTTGTTATAGTTCCTCTTTAAATAGGCTTTCACTTTTTTCTTTATTCAAAAATTACAACTTTAGACATCTATGTCTGTGAGTATTTCATACAGAAATTAGTTATTTTATTTATAAATGTGTTGTTGAAAATATGTATAATATAATATGAAAGATTAGCTAATATACATAACATTTGTAACAATAAGTATTGTAAATCTTCATGGAAATGGTACTCGACCCGCCATCTAGCGGTGGATTGACGAACTAAAATTCGTATACGAGGAGAATACATTGATTTGGAAAAATGTAAAATATAACAAATGTGAAGCAAAACCAAACAAAAGAAGAAGATAGGGACGTTCACTAAAGTCTTCTGCATCGATACTACACAAACCAGCCGATTAAAATTGCACTGTAATCATATAATTAATAAAATAAATGTCATGTATCCCCCCTCTTTGAGTGACAAATATTAGGAAACGAATTTACTCCTATACCACGTTTGTGCTAACACTTATTAGATATGAAATAACTTGACATAGCTCCTATTTAAAATAACTGAGTTTCACATCAAAATATTCACAATACTTCGATTTATCGAATCTGTATCTCAGAATTACATAATTATAGCTTGTTCAAAAATTACAGCTTTAGACATCTATGTCTGTGAGTATTTCATACAGAAATTAGTTATTTTATTTATAAATGTGTTGCTGAAGATATGTATCATATAATATGAAAGATTAGCTAATATAAATATCATTTGTAACAATAAGTATTGTAGATATTCATGGAAATGGTACTCGACCCGCCATCTAGCGGTGGATTAACGAACTAAAATTCGTATATGAGGAGAATACAAGGATTTGGAAAAATGTAAAATATAACAAATGTGAAGCAAAACCAAACAAAAGAAGAACATAGGGGCGTTCACTAAACTCTTCTGCATCGATATTACACAAAACAACCGATTAAAATTGCACTGTAATCATATAATTGGTAAATTAACTTGACATAGCTCCTATTTGAAGTAACTTTAACTGGCTATGAGTTTCAGCATTATGCCACGGATGGCACTACCAGTATTAAAAAGTTATTTAAGCTCGACCTTACAGTTTGTAATAGGAGAATATCTTTTATCTCGTCCATGAATTTGCTTGATATGATAAACCAGCTGGAGAACAATGAATTAAGAATATGTATTTTCACGTAAGTTCATAAAATTATTCATCCGTGAATGTATTTCAAGCGTTTGTGTGTTGTTAGCGGCGTATGACAAATATTGGTATAATAGTATATTCAAATTTTTCATTTCAGGAACCTATTCATCAAGAACAATAATTGTTGCTTTAACAAAAATGTCAAGCACGTGGTACACAAATCTTTATCGTCAAGAGCAAGAAGCATTTGTTTCTAATCATGGTGGAACAACAGCCAGAGAAGTTGTGCATGCGATTATACCAAATGTATGTAGCACTCTTCTGGCTACTACTACGGTAGGACTTATAAGGAATTTCACTCATAAGAATATTAGAGTGATAATTGAATTTGCAATACTTATAATCCCATGTATTTTATGCTGCACCGTATTGTCGGAATACATCGTCACTGTATGCTGTGCCATGCTATCGATATCTATTATTAATATCTTAGTGCTAGGACTTAACGCAAAGTCATCGAACAGCAATAGTAGGCCTAGTCAGGTTAGAAAGCCATTTATCACAAATTTCAGAGCATTGACCAACATTATAACAGCGATATGTATACTAGCTATAGACTTTCGTATCTTCCCTCGTAAGTTTGCCAAGACTGAAGTGTTCGGATACAGTTTAATGGACACGGGTGTAGGACTGTTTGTATTAACGAATGCCTTGGTGGCACCGGAATCCAAAGATTTTGTCCCGAAGCAGAGAGTAGGATTCATTCGTACGTTATCGAGTAACATTAAGCAATCGGTGAAGAGTTGTATTCCCCTTTTGATACTAGGTTTCGGTCGTTCCATTGCCATAGAAGTTATCGGGTACCAAAAGCACGTCACAGAGTACGGTATCCACTGGAACTTCTTCATAACGTTAGCTTTCGTTAAACTGTTCACCAGCTCCATAACCAGTACCATTAGCTCCAAATACTCCCTATTATCAGGCATCTGGATTTTAACGATGCACGAATACATCTTGAGTACCAAAGGGTTGAAAGAGTGGGTGTTAAGCAACAAACCAAGGGACGACTTCGTGTCCGCGAACAGAGAGGGAATGGTCTCTGTGCCCGGATACGTGGGGCTCTATTTGATAGGCGTGGCTGTCGGCAGATTAATACATTCCACGTACTATAACTCGAGCATACAAGATTGGATGGAGTACAAACCAAGAACGTTCCATATGAAATTATTCGGTTACGGTATCGACGCCAGCTACAACGAGTCGATGATACTGTGCATCAAATTGTCTTTGGTAGCGGCACAGACCTGTGCGGCCACCTTGTTTTGCGATTCCTATTTCAAGGTGTCCAGACGTCTAGCGAACGCTGGCTATTGTATGTGGATACTCACCTTGGGCGTTATGTTGCTTACGCTGCTGTTACTGGTGGAGATAATCAGCGACATTTTAATTCGTGCAACAATGGATCCCGATAGTACGGACAGAAAGCCGAGAACGCACAAGGCGGACCTAAGAAACAAGCGAGAACGCGTGGCCGACGAGTCCGAGAAAAATGTAGTCGCGATCGAGATACTGGAAGCCATAAACTACAACGGCCTGTTCTTTTTCTTATTGTCAAACTTGATGACCGGCGGCGTTAACATGCTAGTGCCCACGTTGTATGTAAGTCAGGCCAGAGCCATACAAATACTTGTCGCTTACATGGCCGTGAACGTATTGTCGACGTTATACCTGTACAGAAAGCAGATACAGATCAAGCTGTAATCCTTTCGTATCATTTTTTTTACGCGCCAAGGAATTTGCACGTCCGCAGGCGAAGTATACTTAACGGAACGGACGTATCTCGCGCCACTGGAAACATCTCACCGCATTGTATGCCGTATTTGTTTCGTGTTTGTTTCTTTTTTAATCAAAATAAGTATGTACATATGTCGGTATAAAAGTAAGTAAAGAGTAACTTAATTGGTAACAAGTCGTTTTTGTTTCGTTCGAGCGTAACACCGGCATAACAATACACGTTACAATTCGTTGGTTTTTAAGGAAATTCGCTATAGTTCATCTTTGGATTGAACAACAGGCTTCAGTTTAGCTTGCTCCTTCGACTCGGGCGTATCGATCTCTTTCACGTTGCCCGCGCTCGTTTCGTTCTTCACCTCTGACCTCTTGCTACGCGCTCGTTTGCTCATGAAACTCTTGAACTCGCTGTGATTCTTCACGTGGCTTTTCGCTTCGGCAACGATACGGAGGAACTCGTCGACGTCGAAGCTGTAGTTCGTGAACTTCGCGTGGGCACCTCCGTCAGGATGCGTTCCCTACGATTCAACATCGACACGGTCATTACGACGCTTCTGCAGGGTGTCCCAAAAATATCTCGCAGTCTCGAGAGGGCGGGTTCCTCGGATCATTTGAAGCAACTTCTTCCTTTACAAAAATGTTCTCCGAAGCACCGTTAACGAGTTATTAACGAACAAACAGTGACCAATGAGAGGCGAGCTCGGCTGACGCGAGGCGACCGAGCCAATGAGCGGAACTGGGCTTCGTGCGCCGCTTGGCTGGGCCGCCTCGCGTCAGCCGTACTCGATTCTCATTGGTCACTGTTTCTCGTTAATAACTCGTTAACGGTGCCTCGGAGAAAATTTTTGTAAATAAAAAAGTTGCTTCGAATGACCCGAGGAACCCGCCACTTTCGGATTGCGAGACATTTTTGGGACACCCTNGAAATTATTCGGTTACGGTATCGACGCCAGCTACAACGAGTCGATGATACTGTGCATCAAATTGTCTTTGGTAGCGGCACAGACCTGTGCGGCCACCTTGTTTTGCGATTCCTATTTCAAGGTGTCCAGACGTCTAGCGAACGCTGGCTATTGTATGTGGATACTCACCTTGGGCGTTATGTTGCTTACGCTGCTGTTACTGGTGGAGATAATCAGCGACATTTTAATTCGTGCAACAATGGATCCCGATAGTACGGACAGAAAGCCGAGAACGCACAAGGCGGACCTAAGAAACAAGCGAGAACGCGTGGCCGACGAGTCCGAGAAAAATGTAGTCGCGATCGAGATACTGGAAGCCATAAACTACAACGGCCTGTTCTTTTTCTTATTGTCAAACTTGATGACCGGCGGCGTTAACATGCTAGTGCCCACGTTGTATGTAAGTCAGGCCAGAGCCATACAAATACTTGTCGCTTACATGGCCGTGAACGTATTGTCGACGTTATACCTGTACAGAAAGCAGATACAGATCAAGCTGTAATCCTTTCGTATCATTTTTTTTACGCGCCAAGGAATTTGCACGTCCGCAGGCGAAGTATACTTAACGGAACGGACGTATCTCGCGCCACTGGAAACATCTCACCGCATTGTATGCCGTATTTGTTTCGTGTTTGTTTCTTTTTTAATCAAAATAAGTATGTACATATGTCGGTATAAAAGTAAGTAAAGAGTAACTTAATTGGTAACAAGTCGTTTTTGTTTCGTTCGAGCGTAACACCGGCATAACAATACACGTTACAATTCGTTGGTTTTTAAGGAAATTCGCTATAGTTCATCTTTGGATTGAACAACAGGCTTCAGTTTAGCTTGCTCCTTCGACTCGGGCGTATCGATCTCTTTCACGTTGCCCGCGCTCGTTTCGTTCTTCACCTCTGACCTCTTGCTACGCGCTCGTTTGCTCATGAAACTCTTGAACTCGCTGTGATTCTTCACGTGGCTTTTCGCTTCGGCAACGATACGGAGGAACTCGTCGACGTCGAAGCTGTAGTTCGTGAACTTCGCGTGGGCACCTCCGTCAGGATGCGTTCCCTACGATTCAACATCGACACGGTCATTACGACGCTTCTGCAGGGTGTCCCAAAAATATCTCGCAGTCTCGAGAGGGCGGGTTCCTCGGATCATTTGAAGCAACTTCTTCCTTTACAAAAATGTTCTCCGAAGCACCGTTAACGAGTTATTAACGAACAAACAGTGACCAATGAGAGGCGAGCTCGGCTGACGCGAGGCGACCGAGCCAATGAGCGGAACTGGGCTTCGTGCGCCGCTTGGCTGGGCCGCCTCGCGTCAGCCGTACTCGATTCTCATTGGTCACTGTTTCTCGTTAATAACTCGTTAACGGTGCCTCGGAGAAAATTTTTGTAAATAAAAAAGTTGCTTCGAATGACCCGAGGAACCCGCCACTTTCGGATTGCGAGACATTTTTGGGACACCCTTTATATTTTTAGCACTTAAAAAAGCTTGCTTACGGGATCTTGTTGCACCAGTTTCGACGTGTTTTCCCACGTGAAGTACTTCACGCCGCGCAGCCGTGCGAGATCCTTGTAACATCCTGGATCCTCGCAGTTGTATCTAAATCACGGATCATCTGAGAAATAATCGCCAACAAGTCGAACAATGCGTACGTACATCTCGAAAACAGCTGCCCAGTCAGGTAAGAACATCAAATGCGTCAGTCCAGCTCCGTGAATACCAATAAAGATGTCGGAGTTCCTCGTGATCTCCAATTGCTTCTTGAATGGAACCTTTTTGTTGTACACCACCTGAAATCACAGCGTTCGAAAATTGATGTGGTCGATAAAACAGTTGATAAAACAGTTGAAGAAATCGTTGAAATATCATGGAAAACCCGTGTTGCTTTCGTTGGCGCGCTCTTCGAGAAGCAGACTTATAGTCAACGCTATCGTACTTCTTAGAGTTTTACCCATCAAAATCACCTTTCTGACTTTGTACTCGGGATTCTCCTTCAACGCCTTCACCAGCTCGTCCTCGTTCAAGATTCTCCTATACTGCGTGTCCCTGCTGAGCAGAGTGACGCGTATCCTCTGGTTCTTCCTTTCATGAAGCGGTATTCGAAGTCGGTGCAAAACATGATCGCCGAACGCCTTGAACAATCCGCTGTTCTCGCAGCCGTAGATCTGAAATATTTATTCGTTTGTTCGGGGAAACTATGCCAGTACCGAGGTCGGTTTCGTGGAACAAGAAAAAAAGGCTGGTGTACCAGAGGCGTGTTGTAATAGAGGCCGAAGATCATGCGCGGCAGCAACGGGAACACGAGGTTCTTGAAGCAGACGGTTTCCCCGCGGAACGTTTTCAGGTCCCACAGCGGGTTTCTCGTGAAAGCCTCGAAGGTGTCCTGGAACGCGGACCGGTAACTGAAAGTACGGTCGAACGATTGCTATCTAATATCTCTCTGTTTTTCTGTTTGGCCGGTGTCAGTTACCTGTAGCTTTCCCAGATCATTACGTGATTGTCAGTGCTGAAGGCGGCGGGGTGCGATAGGTTTACGTGCAATGACGCGTACAAATTGAAAAAGTCGCAAAAGTGATGGTACATGTTTACTACTGAAACAAACGTACTTCAACAAATGAGCGGACGCGCGAGCAGTTTTCGCGAACACGGGGCGCCGCGGTTCACCGCGTTCTCTCCGATCGTTCGTTCTCGTCACTTACTGGCGTCTATCTTCATAATGTACGTCGGCTTCTCGATCACGATATCACAGTCGCCGTTGCCGATCGGCGGCCGCGGCAACGTCCGGAAGTTCCTCAATTCGGGTCCCCACGATTGCAACGGACTTATGTGGTCCGCGTTCGCTTCCAGTCGTTTCTCATTCAATCTGCGTAATCGGGGCAAAAATCGTTTACTGTCGTAGCGGATGGATGGGATTTCTTCCCGCGATCGTCGTGTTCTCACTCACGCGCAGTATCCGCCGATTTGGCCCTCCTTCAGCACGTCCATCTTGTACCGTATCGGCTCCTTTCTGCTGAGCAAATCCTCGAAATTAATCATCACGTTCCTCGCTCTACAAAATCGCATGTGCTCCGAGCATTCCAAGGACGAGTCCTCCTTTAAGGTGGAAACCACGTGAAACCTTGCGTGAACCGAAATCATCGGATCGAACACCGTATCTCTTTCGATCGGAGATCACGATACTCGAAACTTACCAGAAACAACGGCTCGCAGAAGATCGACATTTCTTTCCGCTGGTCGCGCACGTACCCGAAATCACCTTGAGCGTAAAACGTGTCCAATTGAGCCTTCTTCGTGGTCACCCAGCCTTTGTGGTCCCCGGGACATCGGGCGACCGAGAACGAATCTTCCGGATTGCAATCCAGCTCGTAACCCCAGCAGGACTTCGTTCCTATACTGTCCTACGTTCGACACAAAATATCGTTGCAACAGAAATTCTTGGTCAATCGTGTGAAACCGTGGCAGAAGGTTTAATTACGGTAGACGTTCGTTAAGCAGTCGTTGGGAAAGTTGCACGCGCTATTTCCGGCGAAAATATCGTAGCAGTTGCATTGCCGACTTTATGCATTTTTATGAGAAACGAGCGCGCGAAGTGTAGAACTTCCGCGGACTCTGAGAAAGCTGAATTATCTACCGGCAACGGTTTAATAATCTTTTAAACAGTGATTACTGGACCGCGGATTCGATGCATTTATGGCAGAATTTGTTAAGTGAAATATAAAACCGAAAACGTTACAGAAATTTGAGATTGTTGTTGCATTATTTCGGTTTTATGGAGGCAGATGCAAAGTGAAAGTGTACAAATTAGTTTAATAACGAGTGAACTATTCATTTCTTATTCTTTTTGCAATTTTTCTAAAATATTTTAGCTTCTCGCAAAAATTTGTAGCCATGATTTTTTAAAATAATTCACGATCGATCCTTTCACTCCCGAATTAACGAAGAACAGTTTTAAACTGTGATAGAAACTTTATTAGACACGAAACTATGTTTCATTTTCTATGCACGCGCAAGAGCTGCCTCGGGGGAATCGGATGACGTCAAGTTTCACTTTACAATCGCGCAAAAAACGGCTTCAAAAACAGATTTACAGTTCCGCCAGACCGAGGATTTCACGCCGTGACAGCAAAAATTGACGAATGAAACGCTGACGAGTGAACACACAAATACTACTGCATTAAAAAAAACAAAAAAATACTGTTACATTACTTCCACCGTATCAACGTCATTCGCCGAAGAAACCCGCGTTTATCCAATCCGTCCGTTTCGTACAATCGACGCGAAAAGTTCTAAACGCCAGACGTAGATAAAACTAATTCGTGCGCCAAGGGTTAATTTGTCTCCCGTGCCGTTGCAAATTCAATTAGCGTTAGGCCGAGGATCCGCGAGAAAAGTGCGCGCGCGCGCTTTGGCGCGATTGGCGGCCGGATAAGTAGCCGGTCCCGTTAAACCGACTGTTTCCCGAATGTTTATTGTTTATCTCGTGCGATCGCGCCGCTAATTACCTTGTAGGGGCAGGCGGTGTCGTTGCGGCACCGCTCCTCGACCGTGGGAAACGAGTTGAAGTAATACTTGATGTGATCATCCGGCAGATCAATGTCCGAGTAATTGGCAGGGATGGCAGTGACCGCGAAAACTAGGACTAGCAGAGCGGAGCATTTGCGGTGCAGCGTTTCGCCGATCATCTTCCGTGCCCGTTGAATCACTGAGAAAAGGCGCACTGCGCGGCGACGGCGGCGGCTCCGCTGAATGGAGGAGGAACCACCTGTAGCGATGGGTGTATGACCTCACCTCCTGCGCGCTCTGTCGCGCTAACGCGACACCCACACCGTGGCTGTTTCCTTAAAAGAATCGGAGAAAGTCAATGTTAGAGCTAGACACGCGGTGTCTTACATCATTCCGGCGATACCCACCTGTTACCCTTGAAAACGCTCCGACAACGGGACAGATTCTATCGAGACGCTCCGTTTGTTTTTCGGAAGCATGCCGGTGCGCTCCTGAATCGATAACGCGGCGGCCGTGCCTCGTAAATTAACGCGTCCGACTCGGAACAATCGATTGTACTCACGTGTGCACGATGGAACGCGGCGGCCGCTGCGGTCTGCGCGTTTTCTCACCTCCTGCGACTGGCCGACAGGACACCACGCAGCACAGGCATTTCACTTTATTTGCCTGTCGCACACAGAGAAACCGTTTTGCCTGTGTGCGGCTTCAAAATGGCCGACCACGCTCGTAAACACGTTGAACGAGCGGTTTTCACCGGTGAAAACCGCGCGGGGCATCACTGATTCACACGGCGGTGCAGGTTACGAGCCGGGGAACACGGAACGGTCACTGGGCCGCACGACGGTCACGCTGTGCCCGGGAACTTTAGGGTTCCTCGGGCCCGTTGTTTGAATCCCTTTGCTGCGACGCCTCGCACGTGAGCCAGCAGACCCTTAAATGCTCGTCCATCTGCAGCAAACACCGCGAAACGGTCTTTCCGTTACCGTAGACACCTGCGTTCCCTATAGCTGATCGTATAGTATGTTCGCTTGTCGTTCGTCGGTCCCTTATCATTTGTTCCCTGAATCATCGTTGGTCGGTATCTTATCCGTGGATGATAGCGTAGAAATCGTTGCTTGGTAGATATCAGTTTCAAATTTCACTTTTTCTTTTTTAAGTATGAAATTCGCGATCATGCGTTTCGTCGGATAATCATTGTGTGTTGTCGGTTTTTACGCAAATGGGGATTTTTTATTCGATCGGAGCAGGCTTGATTATTGACTTGATTATTCGAACGGGTATCATCTGGATCTCTCGTAAACGTTCCATTTGCTTCAAAATGTTTACTTATACTCCGCCATTGTTTAGCGTACGCGATCTAAAATGTAGATCTCGTGGCGCGGGGTGGTCGCGAAGATCCTTGCGCTCGATCCGCAGATCTTATATGGAATCGCCGGGTCCGCGGCGCTGCTATTGTCTACGTCGCGGCAGAGTGATGGCTTCCGTTATTCGGCATGTTTATACGGAAAATAAACGCGGTATCGACTCCCGATAAGCCCACGGGACGCGCCTTATGCTAATTCCAGGCTGGATACGTCAAAAACCGTATCCGACGTATACGGTGAAGCCGGCGAGTTCGGTCTTCTCCCGAGGCGTGGCCGATTGTAGATCGTATCTTCGGAGTTTATACGATTTTGCTCGTCGAAGAGAGATTCGAATCTCCGAGTCTCTCTCTCTCTTTCTCTCTTATGCTCTACCGGAGCGTGCTGCTGCTGCTGCTGCAGCAGCTTGAAAGACAGCGAGTCCCACACTCGGTTAGGCATGAATCGTTACGTAATCTGGAAGACTCGGATAAGCTGGAGCGCGCGGTTCTCGTGGCTCGCAGGTGTCTTTATTGGTTCACGAGAAACCGTTTCAGCGCAATTAAGGCCTGGTTCGGAGCAGGTCTTATTGTATGGTCAACAAAAGGGAACATATACGGGCCCGAGAAAGTTATTTATTCGGCGCAAACGCTCCTTTCTAATTTCATTTTTCGTATCCTCTACGGCCGCAGCCCCGGCAAACTGGATAACCGTCTTAATGTATGTGGGAACACAATGGACGCGGCCGCCGCGGCGTAAAAGTCCCCGTCGACGTGCCGCAGCTATAAAAGTCGGATATTCAACAGTCGTCGGGCGATAACTGTGATCTGAAATCTATTCCGGTTCTACCGCTGGATTCTACGTAGTGTCCCAGTGACCGGTCACGCGACAAGGAAAAGCGTCTGTCTCGCCCGTCTCTTTCTCCCGTCTTTCTCTCTCTCCCTCTCGCTCTCTCTTCGTCCAGCTTCGCGTTGCAAATCATCCCGCGAGCCAATCACGATAATCCAGGAACCAATGCTAATCGATCCCCGGTACCCGAGATATCGGTTAGGGACGGCAAACTCTCGGGCACCTCCGGCGTCAACCTGCCATGCCGTGACCCGGAAACGGGTCGCGTTCGACCGGCCGGTGTGCGCGCGAACCGAACAGAAAGCTCACACAAATGCGCGTAAAGTAGAGCTGCACGTGTATTGTCGGAGACATACCGGACTAGCAAGGATTGCCGTGGATAGATGGAGGAAATGATCTACATCGATCACGATCTGCGGCACCCTCACCCCGGGTTCCCGGGCCGACGCTGCTGCAACGGTACCTCATCGTTGTTCATTATCGACGAAATCGCCGTCATCTTTCTTTCTGATAATTTTATCATGTCTGAATCGGGCCGGACCGGGCCCGACCCGATCCGATCCGATCCGATCGGGCGTCCCGATGAAAAATGCTGTTCCCCGCAATTACTGAATCGGGGCCCGGTGCCCGAGCGCGGCCGAGCGAGCCGAGCGGAGTCGGGCCGTACGACCCACGCTCGGGAGGAGGAATGGAATAATGGGCCTGTAACGGAGTATTCCGCGCGATCAATTTCGCGACAACGGTTGCGCAACCGTTTGATAAACGCGCCCCACGTGGAACTGTAACACGCTGAAGTGTGTCCCGTGGCCGCGGGTTGTAAAACGAGCGCGTGGCATCGGCGCAACGCGGATTGTCCCGCCACGGTGGCGCCACGCTTCACAGGCGACACGATGCAACCTACGCGAAATTCTACTCTGTAATGTTCCTCATAGACCTCTATCCCGGGGTTCGGGTTCCTCCCGCCGCCGAGACACGGAGAAAATCGTGGGGGCGGCGCGTCACCGGACAATCGCGACGGCCGGATGGCGAAACCAGAACATGATGCACCCACGCGCGCCCGAAAAGAACCGGAGAAAAGGGCCAGACCGATGCCCGACGCAGATTTCCACGGGCGAGCCGCGTTTTCGGTCTCCAGTTCCGCCTCTGTCCGGTGCTCGAAGCAGCCGCGGCCGAAATGCGCTTTTTAACAAATAGCTATGCACGCGCCATTTTTACGCACTCGAAGCGGTTTAATTCACGATTAATGAAATTTGTAAAGATACGTTCGAGAGTAGGTTATTTTCGTTGAGTTCGTTTCGTTGCGTAGTTAAGGAAATTGTTGGTGATTCGAATTGGTTACTAGAAAATTGCAGTGCAGTAATTTCTCCCCAATTCGCGCTCAAATTGCACATAAAAATAGACAATTTCGGAAGAGGAGATATAATTATTCGAGGCTTGCGTCTCGTTTTTACAGTTGTCGACAATCGGTGACTATAAAAACGAGCCGCAAGGCTCGAATAATCGTATCTACTCTATCCAAATTGTCCATTTGTTTGCGCAATCTGAGCGCGAATTAGGGAGAAATTACTGTATTTGTACTCTAAGCTTTCTTCAAAATTGCACCGAATGTACGCGAATTCGTTTTAAGCACGTTTTAATTGAATTTTTTCGGCTCCATCCGAATGGTACTTACGGTTTATGAACCTGCATGATCCAGGATCGTGGTATATTCTCGTGAATCTACCTGCGTCTTTTCTCTCAGCTGCCCACGCCGGCCATTTCAATCCGTGCAGATACAAACGTAAACTGTAACGATTGTCGTTCCGTTCTGAGCAGACGGCCTATAGCCTTATCCAAGAGAGCAGCGATTTGTAGATCCTTGATCGGTCGTGATCGTAAATCAGTCGACCGAAAAGAAATCCACTGGAAGAGCGGTCGGAAAGTTCGGATATTCGAGCGGCTCGAAATTCGAACGGAATTGAGCAGTAACAATTATATATATTTCTTTAAACTTTCTGCATTTTTTCCTGTATTTTGTCGTTCTCTATTGTAGTGATTTGTACAGTAAATTCTTCCTAATTCAAGCTCAGATGGACAATTGGAGAGAGAAGAGGAGATTATTCGAGCTTCGCTGCTCATTTTTATAGTTGCCGATTGTCGACGATTATAAAAACGAAGTGTAAGGTTATGTTAAGGTTATACTTAGTAGTTGTTTAATATAATAATTATTTAATATAATATTAATAATTTAATATAATAATATAATCATTTTATACAAACTTGAAAAAGGAAGATTCATTTTGTACTATAAATGCATAATTATATGCAATCTACGAATCGCGCAAGATGAAACCAACTTTGTAAACAATCCAATTAATAATTAGATGAATATACACGATAATGACCTAGCATCCTGCATCCGAGCATTTTTGCTAATACAGTAAATTCTCCCTAATTGATGCTGAGATTTTGGACAAGAATGGACAATTTGGGAAGAGGAGATATATCTAATACATATAAGAGGAGAATAATCGTATCTCCTTTTCCCAAATTGTCCATTTTTGTCGAAAATCTGAGCATCAATTACGGAGAATTTATTATACTTGCTTCGACAGTGCATACGTACACTATCGCAGCGAGTTTCAGCAGTCGGCCATTCGAACCGAAGATAATTCGGATCGCCTTTTCCGATTATTCCGAGGCCTCTATGAGGCCTCGGACGAGCTCATTGTGAAACACACGACACAGAATAATTGACCGGTGACGTTCGCCGGGATAATTGCTACAAAGGTTTAATCTGCTGCGCGGCCCAGTGCCGACGAGATGCGACGGTGTGAAGTAACGTGTAACAGATCGCGGGGTAATGGAGAAAACGCGTCGCAATCTATCCACATTTATAATGAACCGAATTAGAATCCGATTATCTCGATTGCCTCGGCCCCGGGCCCCGGTCCCCGGCGGATAGAAATTACCCGGCGGCATTAGAAGACGCGAGCCAAAGAAATTCCCGTCGCACGCTAGGCTCTCGTTAGCGACGCCGGACTAATCGCTTAATTAATAGATGATAAATGTTTGTAATTCCGCCGGCTCCTCTCGGTCCTCGAAAGCCCTCCGCAAGGCGCGCTTCGTTACCGCGGCCAATTAATTACGCGGCCGGCCGATTAAACGCGGACCTGCACCCGACACGGGGGACACAAAAAGCTGATCCCGTCCGGGGCCTCCACGAATTTTCTTCGCGGGCCCCCGTCGCCGGACGATTTATCCTCCGGCGAGTCGCCGGGGTCAAGGGGTTACGGTTCCTGATGTCGCGTCGCCATGAAAAAAACGCGCGAACCTTAAAATATCGCATGGGGGCTGGCGAAGTGAGTTTAAGGTTTCCTTCGGCCGTGAAGGATCCTTAAATTCCGGACGCCAGCACTTTCGAAACCGTACGACGCGACTTCAAATAACTCTCGAAACGCAGCGGGCCATAAAACACTCCCCATTGAAATTAATTTCGATCGCTCGCCCGATCTCCGAGCGGCTAGCAAGATATTTAACCCCCGGCACGGTACCCGCGACAAATTCGCCCGAAAATTTAATGTCCGATTACTTTTTCATCGCTCTTTCCATCGGGCATGTTTTCTTCGATAGTTGACCCTTTGTGCTCGTGTGACGACTCCGAGGAAACACCAGAAATCATTGTATCACGTTCCAAAGTCTTTTCTACAGTATCAAATTCGTTCATATTTAAAAAACTAATGTTAAAAGTCTT